GGAAACCCAAGGAGGGGTCACTATGAGTCAAGTCAAGTCAATGGCAGTGACTTTGGTTTGGGCTTTGCTTCCAGTGGGTGTGGTTTGGGCTTTGCTTCTGTGAAGATAGGAGCCCTGGTGGCATAGTGCCTAAGGCACTTAACTGCTAACCAGAAGTCTGGCAGTTCAAACCCACCAGCCACTGCTCAGAAGGGAGATTGGCAATCTACTTCCATAGTGACACTGCCTTAGAAACCCAAGGAAGGGTCACTATGAGTTGGATCCAAGTCAACGGCAGTGAGTTTTTTAGTTTAAAATGACAAGCGGGGGTGCATTTGGGGATTTTTCTGATTGGATAAGATTTGCATTAGTTGTGGATGGCAGGACCTTGGTTGACCACCTTTTACAGTCTCCAGCCTCCTTTGCAAAAAGGGCCTTCAGGTGACAAGATATGGCTGATTACAATTTTCTTAAAACAAGTTTAAAATTACAAGTATTTTCCAAGTATAAAACATATATATGAAAAAATTTAGAGATTTCTAAAAAATATAGCTTAACCACTAACATCACCTGTTTAAAACTATGTCTACACTCCATTCACACTATTTATCTCCATCTACCATCAGCCATTTCTACCCACAAAATTGAATTAAATAGGCAGAACATGCCAGGGAGTTTCTGGTAAGAACTGCTTATATGTTAAGCCAAGTCTTTGCAAGAAGAGAAGAAACGTTAAGAAAAAAAAAAAAGAACAACAGTGCTTTTTAACAAATTGGAATCCCTTATGTCAAGAGAAAAACAAAACAGGACTTAAGTCAGGAGTTTTCTGCCACAACAAGACCTTAGTTTTAGAATGCTCTTCCTCAGTGTATATATGAAAAAAGAAGTCGAAATGATTTCTAATTGTCAGTTTCAAAGGTACTTCGCCTTTTACCTATTGGCCCTCAAAACAGACTGGCATCTTCCTGCCTCTCACTCTAGAAAACTTCTCTCTCCAAGGTCCTGTGGGAGCTGACCTGAACACGGAGGCTTAGTTCTGTGTTTCTCCAGTAGAGTAGCTGCCTGGAGAGAGCCATTAGGACCAAGCCTAGCTGGGAAGGCAGGAAATGAAACCTCCCAGTTCTCAGGCCTTTGGTTAAGGATGTGGCCATAATGTTCCAGAAGCCTGGGGCATAGTTCCTTCTCTTCTCAACTCATTTTTCTCAAGAATGCTAGGGCCAAGCCACCTAAAAAGCTAATTTGGTGAATTGCTTCTGTACCTGGCTCCCTTGCAAAATATATTTGAAATAATGTGGTTAAGGGTTTTATAGTCATCTTGTGATCACTTGGACAATACCCTGTAAATGTCAACCAATCAGATTTTTCTTTGTTCATTCTTATTTCACTGTAAGAATCAAATGAGAAGCCTAATGGACAGTACTGTTTCCCTTTGTCACTCTGTACTGCCCACATTTCCAACTATTACCCAATTCCTCAATACTCCCCTTTGCTTTAAATCTTAACAGGTTGTCACGTTTGAGTCTAGAACAGTCCTCAGCACTTGGCAAGATCAGAGTGGATTCGCACTGTTAGGCCGGAGGAAACTCAAGCCACCAACATTTCCGTTGGCAGCTTCCTCTGGGTGTCAGGCCCTGATGAGACAGCCTGATAAGACAAGGAGGCGGCAGAACCCACCCAG